ACAATTATGAATAGGTTGTCGGCATGTCTTATGTTACAGCAGCCTACCAAGGCTTAATAGAAACCAGTTTTTCTGCTGACTGATACTTAATGATGAGAGAGGGTGGGAGCCTTGTAAAAGTGAAAACCGCATAACAATGCTAAGTAGGAAATGGCTGATGCTTAACAGTGAAGACTAAGTAAACAAACCAACACACACACACCCCAAAGTCCCGTGCAGCCATTACAATGCTGTATCAGATGAATATTTGGTGCTGTGGGAGAGTATTCGTGCTGGGTTTCGAGAGGAGGACGCACCTCAGTTCTTTGCTTCACACACTGAAAGAATTCACCCTGCAGCACGTTTTGTAATCCAAGTGAGATTTCATGATGGAAAGGGAAAGTTTCCGGTTTTACAGCCTCAGAAGTGTACACGCTATTTCTGCAAAGCTGCCAGTCCACATGGCTTTGGCATCTGGGCACGAAAAACCACGTGAAAAGAATACAGGAACACATGTGTGGAGCTGGGAAACCCCCAGAGCCCAAGAGCATGTGGGTGGGCCCAGAGCAGGCACACAGGCGTCCACGTGGAAGAGAACAGGAGCAGGGGGAGAAAAGGGGTGCCGCCTGCCCGCTGGGTGCTTTTACCTGCTCTGGCTGGGGAATGTGGTTGAAGGTCTTGGCTGACCCCCGTGGCTGAGTTCAGGCCCACCTCAGTGATGTCATGGACCCAGGGTGGGTGTTCCCAGGTTGGTTTGACCTGGGCCCAGGAGGTTTAGTTTGCACATGCGCAGTTCTGGATTTTCTCATAGCTGTTCAGTCAGTGTGCCTGATCTCTTTCCAACCCCTGTATTGGGGCCTTATGCAGGTACTGTGGAGACAACCCCCCTTTGTCCCTAATCTTGCGACTTAATATTAGGTTGTGTTAAGAGGATAAGAATCAAATTTTAAGAGACTATTACAATATACTCATTTTTGTTTAAATAAAATGTGTTTAGAACAGAGAAAAGAGATACATCAAATTATTTTTAAATTTATTTAAATATTTTAATATCTTTGTTATATTTATTTTATGACAGAGAATACTTTTATAGTATTGTCTATATACAAGGTACTAGTATAGGTGTTCTACATATTCCATATGTGACATACATATAGCCAAGGTATTAAATATATCCTCCACATTTTCAGCACTGAAAGAGTACTGACTTTTATGGTAATACAAAAAGTATTTGAGAAATGGTAATAGAATAAAAGAGTATTATGTACGACTATGGAAGTAACTATTAGCGGCACTAGAAGCAGGCTGTTGCTTTTTTCATAAGCTCTTATATGGATTTATTGCTGAGAGCGTGTAGTGATTTGAGATGAATAATAATAATACATAAGAAATGCTATTATTTACAAATTTTTCAGCACTTCATACAATTTAATAGTTCAATCATATTAAGAAGAGTTGTGCAATCATTACCACAATCAATCTCAGATCATTTTCTTCTTTCTTATATTCATTGCTGTTAGCTCCCCATTTATGCCCAATCTCTCTTGCCATGCCCCTAGATAATTATTAATCTAATTACTGTCTCTATAGATTTGTCTATGGTAATTTGGATTTCATATGCAGAAAATCATACAAAACAAGAAACAAACAAACAAAAACCCTCGCAAGATACAAAACAAAACAGAAAAAACCTCAATCAAAAAGAAAGCAGAAAATATTAAAAACTGAAATAACTTGAAAATCCGTCAAAAGGGAGATCGAATGTCACCTAGCCACACCTGCTGTACTTGACTTTACAATGCTCTCTCTCTGATAGCAAAGCTATTCCATCCCTGGACTACGGTCAGAGGTGATTCACTGGAGGCTGAATCCATGTAGGGACCCTGCAAATGTATCTTGGACTTCACTGTCATTCAGAGCCTTCTGCAAACCGCCTGTTCAGAATGTAAGCTCTGATACTGTTCCCTCTAACAGATTTAGATAGTATTATTTACAATCCTTGGATCACACAGGCTGGTGTGCTTCTTCCATGTGGACTTAGTTGACGTCACACTTAGATGGCTGCTTTATTTAAAAAAATAAATCATTTTATTGGGGGTCTTACAGCTCTTCTAGCAATCAAGCACATTTGCGCATATGTAGCCATCATCATTTTAAAAACATTTTTTTCTACTTGAGCCCTTGGTATCAGCTCCTTCCCCCTGCCTTCCTATCCTCATGAACCCTTGGTAAATTATAAATTATTATTATTATATTCATATCTTACACCGTCCACTATCTCCCTTCTGTTTTCCATCCCCCTGTGATCAGGTCCCCCTTTTTCCCCATTCTCCTCCCCTACCCTCATGGTATCACTACTCCCATTATTGTTCCTGAGGGGTTTATCTGTTCTGGATTCCGTGAGTCAAGAGCTCTTATCTGTACCAGGGTCATAATTGTGGGGGCGGGGGGGAATCATTAAAGAACTAGAACAGTGGTTCTCAGCCTTCCTTTAATACAGTTCCTCATTGCTAATTCATAACTGTTATTTTGCTACTGCTATGAATCAGGTGACCCCTGTGAAAGGGCCGTTCAATCCCCCAAAGGGGTCGCGACCCACAGGATGAGAAACACTGAACTAGAGGAATGTTGTGTGTTTCATTGGTGCTACACTGCACCCTGGCTGGTTCGTCCCTTCCTTGTGACCCTTCTGTGCGGGAATGTCCAATTGCTTACAGATGGGTTTCGGGTCTACACTCCGACCCCCCTCTATTTCATCTATATGATTGTTTGTTTGGGGTCTTCTGATGCCTGATACCTGATCCCATTGACAACTTGTGCTTCTTCCACGTGGGCTTTGTTGCTTCCCTGCTAGATGGCCACTTGTTTAACTTCAAGCCTCTAAGATCCCAGACACTGTATCTTTTGATAGCTGGGCATCATCGGGTTTCTTCACCACATTTGCTTTTGCTACCATTTTGGCTTCAGCAATCGTGTCGGGAAGGTGAGCACTACTGAGTGACAGATTATTAGAACAAAGTATTCTTGGGTTGAGGGAGTGCTTGAGTAGAGGCCCAATATCTGTCTGCTACCTTGATACTTAACATATAAATATATGTACATAGACCTATGTCCCTGTCATTATACATTAATATATTTACATACGTAAAATGCCTATGTTTATACCTTGATCAATGCCTCCTAGCTCCTTCCTCTATTTCCTTTTACTTTCCTCCTGTCCCAATATCATATTCGACCTTCATTTGACTCTCAGTAATTTCTCTTGGCCACATGGCACTTGATTAAACCCCACCAGACATTCTACACCCTTCTCGCCATTGATTTTCGATCTCTTGTTCCCTTGTCCCTGCGTTTCATGGCCTCCCCCTCCCTTTCCCCTACCTCCCACTCTTTCCTACCCCCTCAGAACCATGGGTTCCATTGTTTTCTCCTAAGGATTGTTTATCTTGCCTGTCTTATATAGATAGACATGAAAAAAAGGAATAAGAAAGAAAAGGGGAGAGACTATAAAGAGTTGAGGGCTGTGTGCTGACCCTTATGTATATTTCTGACCTCAGACAAATAGCTATTATTTCTTATGCATAGAAGCCTTGGTGGTGCAGTTGTTGAAGAGCTTCACTGCTCAGCGAAAGGTTGCACTTAAACTCACTAGCAACTCCAGGGGAGAACGATGAGGCTGCCTGCCAACATAAAGATTTACAATCTTGGACATCCTCTGAGCCCGAACTGACTGCAACACTGACTTTGAGAGTTGCATTTTGGTTTGTTTTTTTGCATCAGTAATAACACATGTCATTAACAAATTTTGGGTTTGTTTTTGTTTGTTACATTTTTTTGACCCAACATTGAATTTGAATTCCAACCAAAAATAAATAAATAAACAAACTATTTTTTCCTTTGGGGTCCATGTGTTAAACGAAATATTTTTGTTTCACTACAGCAATATATATTCTAACAAAATGTATGTCTTGACAGCATAAAAAAGTGAATGAATGCCTCCTGTGGGAGTTTAGAAGATTGTGCTCATAGTTCCAAGTGGGAAATTTCATTTACTATCTTTTAAAATTATTACATTAGTGAATCTTACATCCCATTATATGTGTGTGTATATACTATGTGTCCTTGTTTGCTTTATTTGAAAATACTTTCAGTTATATTCCATCAAATAAAATTGCACCAACTCTAGAAGTTATGCCACATTTATCTTCCTTATACCTTCATCAAATTTACTATGAATTGTTTAATTTTCTGTAAAGGGCCTGGTTGGAAACAGTTTTGGCTTTGTGGCCTATAATGTTCTCTGCTACAACTACTCAACTCTACCATTGTAGAGATCATCTAGATAAATAACAGTGCACTGGGCAAACTGCTGCACAAAATTTCTTTAAAGTGTTAAAAATGCATAAGGTGTCATTTTGAGGACTAAGGGGTACTTGACCCAAACCATAGTATTTTCAGTCACCTCATATGCATGGGCATGGATATAGAAACTGGAAGAATGGATGCGTTTGAATTACGTTGATGGGAAAGAAGAGTCAAAGATCCACGGGCTGCTGGAAGAATGCCTAAATCCGCCTGGAGGGAAGTCGGGCTAGCATGCTCTTAGTTGGGCTGGCACACACTTTGGACATGTCATCGGGAGGGGTCAGACCCTGGGAAAGGATGTTGTGCTTGGTAAAGTTAGAGGGTCCACCAAAAATAAATAAAAGAGGAAGACCCTCAGTATGGTGGGTTGCCAAACTGGCTTCAACAGTGGGCTCAAACATAGCAATTGTGAGCATGGCACAGCACCAGCCAGTGTTTTGTTCTATTGCTCGTAGGATAAATATAAGTTGTAACTGACTCGATGGCACCCAACAATAACAACGACAGGTTAAATAAATGATTCGTGTTTAAATAAAAATTATGCTATAGACGATCTCAAAAAAATTTTTTTAACTCCTGAAAAGTTCTAATAACTGTTGTGGGGAGGTGGGGCATCCACATCTTGGCTAACTTGTGTGCACCTTCCTCCTCTGCAGGTCTGTTCAACTCAATGGGCAAATTCTGAAGATGGTGGATGATCACACCCTGCCAGCTTTGACGGAGAAAACACTCCGCCCAGGGCGTTCCTTGGGCTTGCCACCCTTCTCATATGGGTTTTTTGTGATAAAAAATGCCAAAGTTGCTGTTTGCGTCTGAACATTAAAGGCATCAGCAACTAGCCCTGAGGTGGATGTTTCCAAGTATAGTGATGAATAAAGCTAAACCCACAATTTAGGAAGGGACCTTAACATTACAGACGAACTTGCAGGACCTTCAGACATTGGGACATCTCCATGCCAACTTTAGTACCGTATTTTGGTCTCTCTCTAAGTAGATTTGCACTAATAACAATAGTTAATGATCCCTTATGCCAGACACTCTGCTTAGCTGTGTGCATGTACTATTTTTACTTAAGGTTATTAAAAATATGTATGAACTCAGTACTGCCGGGAGGCAAGTAAGTGGAGGATATAGGATTAGCTTTTAAGAAAGTGCTTAGCTGTTTAAAAACAACAACATTTAAAGAAGATTTTTCTCTTCTTTTCTGCCTATTTATTCGGAATTCCACTGGGAAAGGTTTCTTAATCTTCAAACTGGTTATGAAGGTGGACCTGAACAGGGGGATTGATCTGGAATTGATCTGCTGTTCTGTGCTGTGTTTGTATGAAGTAACATGTGCGAGGACGGGTGACTCGATGCATGAGTATAAAAATAATTAATGAAAATCAGAAGAAAAGGATTGTATAAACATCCAATGAACTAAAAAAATGACTGTAAATGAAACTCACATAGGAGAAAATTTAGAAAACATTCCATATATATTAACTATAATTGATGTTTAAATCTACCCTTAGCTCTTACTTTAGTTAGCAAGCGTTTAGCTATAAGTAACAATAACAAAAACCCTAAAGAGACTTACATATTAAATGCCAGTGAGACACAAAAAGACCTTCAATGAGAGGGCTCGACACAGCGACTACAACATAACAGTTGTGAGGGATCCACAGGGCAAGGCTGCACACAGGGTCGCTGTAAGTGGGGGCCAACCTGGTGGCACCTAAAAACAACAAATAATGAGGACACCTGCAGCCCCACATCACTTTAAGTTCAAGGGGGCTGGGCTCCAGTAGGTCAGATGTCACAAGACCCACGTTCCTTCCCCCTCTCTGCTCATCTCCAGGGCTGGCTTCACGCTCAGGTGAGGAGCATGATGCCATAGCTGTTCAAGGGCCCATGCATAGCTGTCTTAGGTGAGAAGTGGGTGCCTGGCCACCCCATTCCAGCCTGCCCCACAAGTAGTGAGGTCCCCTCACTATCTCGTGTGGCTATTTGGAGTGCAACGGGTGCTGAGTCATCTACAGCACTGACCACTACATTTCTGTGCTTTTTTTATCAGAGATAAGATATATTCTTTTCCACGTCATGATTTCTAGAAATAATCCTCTTTATATTTATGCTTGCTATGAACATTGTCTCAAGTCTCTCTAAGTATTTTATAAGGAGTGTAATCTGGAACTTGGTGTTTGGATGCTTCAATGCTCTTAGATTTTTATATATAAGTGGTTTTATATTTTCACACTCGAAATAAAGTAATTTTATAACCTTTATAGTGCACGATCATTATTTTTAATGAAACCTAAGCTGTGGAGGCCTATATTGAGAAGCCTTGTCTTACTTCACCTCCCTGCTGACACCGCCTTCATTTTACTGTTTGTTCTTCTCCGCACCAGCAGCTGTCCTGGACAAAAGAGAGCAAGCGCCATCCATCCGCATTTCTCACATCATCATGTGCGTTCAATCTTGATCCAGCTCTCACACTGTCTATTTTTCTCTCTGCTATCCCTTAGGGTACTTAATCAATTCCAGGTCTAATTTTTCATTTGTATCCTTAAATGAATCCCTTATTGCTCACCCTGACTGTACTTACTGTTTTTATAAATGGCTCCTTACGGTCCTCTGTAACCTATCACTGCCCCTTTCCTCAGCCTCACACTCTGTCGTCCCCATGAGCTCTATTCCACAATGACAGGTCAGCTGAGAAGTCTGCACACACATGCTCCTGCACCTTTTACTCCTGTATCACTTGTGTTTGCCCATCGACGTTCTGCCTGTGCTATCCTAACTTGCCTCAGTACATGGCACATTTTTGCACACGTGTGTATATGTATATGTGTGTATATGCACACATATGTATGGGTTTCATTGGAAACATGGAATTGAAAGATGCAATTTCCCATGCTTATTATTGTGGTAAATATAGATAACACAATATTTGCCATTTCAAGATTCCACATATACAATTATGTGACATTAATTATGTTTATCATGTTGGTCAGCTATCACCATTTTCTGTTCCCAAATTTCCTGTCATCTTTAACAAAAGCTCTGTTTCCTAAGCAAGGCACCCTCTTTTCCCCCTTTCCCTCTCTCACCTGGTAACTACTAACAAACTTTAGTTTCCATATACTTTACCTATTCTGGATCTTTCACATGTTGTTTTAAAAGAAACCTCACTGCCATCAAGTCAGTGCCGATGCACAGTAGCCTTCTTGGACAGGGTAGAACTGCCCCCTGTGAGTTTCTAAGACTATAATGAGAGTAGCAAGTTCAGTATTTCTCCCTCCAAGCAGCTAGTGGTTTCAAACTGCTGACCTTCCAGTTAGCATCCCACTCATATAACCACCGCCAGGATTCCTAAGGTAAACAGTGACTACTTTTTCAGAAAGGGACCAACTCGTCCTTCTTTCTTAGCTGTTCTTAGTCTGGAAGCTCTGTTGGAACCTGTTCACCCAGGTGACCAGCGTCCAGCATCCCAGAAACACACAGGCACAGCAGTACGACAATCTGACAAACAAGTGGGGACCTGTGTATCGTGTGGGGTGGGTGAGAGTTTCGGGTGCACTGGTTTTCCATTCAACAGTTCATACACACGTGTTTGTGATATTTGATGGCAATCCCCACGATAGACCAGCACTCTTCCCACTTGCTCCTTTTTACTGTTTCTATTCCTCCTCTCCTGTCCCTTCCTACCTTTTGAGCTCCATCCCTGGGAAAGTGCTGCCCTTCTGATCTTGTTTGGTTGGCTGTTCTCATGTGGGCCGACGTCCCTCATGTTATCGTTCACCTTCTCTGTTGCTTGGCAGAAAGCTTGGCCACCAGGGCAGGTTCCGTCCAGACATCAAGTGTCCACAGCCGTAGACTCTGGTGGTTCAGTTGCTGTTGACCAGTAAACTTGGTCTCTTCCTGTGATTTTGAGTTTTGCTCCTCATCTGTTTTCTCCCACCCTATCCAGGACCTCCTACTGTGCGATCCCTTTCATAGCGGTCAGCATTTCTAGTTCTTTGGGTCTCAGTCAGGGGTGGGGTGGGGCTGGGGTGCACCTGATGCACTCATCCTTGGGACTAATTTCTTTATGTACTTGATGGTCTTGTCTCCGCTCGCTTTTGCTCTGGACAGGGAGAGACTCATCATTGGACCTTCGTTGGCTACTCACAAGCTTTGAAGACCCCAGTTGCTACTCACCAAGGAGGGATGTAGAACACCGCCTCTATAGATATTAGGCCCTTTGCTTTTTATGCCCTAAAGAGTAGGCACAACTCATAGATGGATTCAAATGCCACAGACCTTCCTGAAGACAAGAGCACGTTTAGTGTTTCCAGTTGTGCAGTACTT